GAAGGGATTGCGGCATGACCATCCCCCCTGGGGGGTGATTTCTCGTTTTCTGTCTCTCTGTCTCTGTCTGTCTGTCTGGCGAGCGCACGTGCCCTATAGTAAAAACCTCTCCAAAAAAAAGAAAACAAAACAAAAAGATTTCATGGGAAATACAATTGAAGTATGAGTTTATTTTGGTGTAAAAAGTGCTCACACCCATGCATGGTTTCCTTGTCTACACACTTCCCACAAGCTCCCAGAAGAGCCCTGCGCGTGTGCAGAAAGGGACACATGTCACGTACATCCTGCTGGTTGAATGCTCAGGAACTGAGCGTCCCTATAGAGCCTGCCCTGCAAGGCCTCTGGCCACCACACCGAGTATGGATGGAGACCGTGAACACAAGTTTGAGCAGGAGAAGTCGGACAGGAAAGTGCACAAATCCAAGGATGGGCCAAACACCTCGGGGCTGTGTCAGAACGGCAGCTGCATTTAGGGGTGCTGAGGTGGAAAGGGAAGGCGGGCGGCTCCCAGGTGCTGTGCGTGCAGGGCATTCCTCTAAAAGCCGGAGCTGGACCCCGTGCACCCACTGTGTATACCCGCTACACGTCAACACAAAGTTGACCTGGAAGAGGTGTGTGTGCGTGGGCACGTCCCTCTGGGACACTCCTGTCCAGAACTCCACTGGGGGGAGACACCCAACAGGAGATAAAACAAGCGTCTGTATCTTCCGGAGTGTCAAGGTCAGGCCCAGGGGCTCAGGGTAGTAGACGGAAATGAGAGCTGCACGTCTCCTCAGACTTTGCGTTCTCTTTCTTTCTTTCTTTTTTTAAAAATATAATTATTCATTTTATTTTATTTATTATTATTATTATTCAATTTGACCAGAGAGATACAGAAAAACAGGGTGGGGGGAAGAGTGAAAAAACAATGCCAACAGGTCTGGGACTCGAACCACAGTCGGCTGTGTGGGAGTCCAGCACTTTAACGACCACGCCACCCACCAGTCTGCACTCTAAGACTCGCTCCTACGGTTCTGTTCAACATGAGCCTGAGGAGCCCGAAGATGTTCACTGCTGTTCAGTAATTACATTGTGGTCATTCCAATTGCAATGGGAAGGAAACAACCCAAGGGTCTGCACAAAGGGGCCAGTGGAAAGAATGGCTTCACCTGAACAGCGAAGCACCACGGAGCTGGAGAACGGACAGAAAGGACAGAGGGCCCTGCATACGTGGGAGCAGAAGCACTGCGTTGGAAGAAACACAGGGAAAACCCAGGCCAGGGGCTAGCCAGAAACCTGGTTTTCCCAGACAGGCTTTCGTCCCACTCAGGCCACATCACTCTGCACACGGTGCTGAGAAGTGTCTGCTCCTGACCTGCAGAGCTTGGAGCTGCTCTCTGCGCCTGCTGCCCAGCAGGACAGCATGCAGGAGGGTCACATGAGCAGATGGTGTCCAGAGGCCAGGCAGGGCCTATGGGAACAGGCTGAGCGGCCCAGGCTCCCATCGTGGCCAAGAGCTGGATCTGTTTGCCAGCTGCCAGGCTGCGGAGACACGTGGGCAGGGGATTACGCAACTGCGACCGTGACTGGGAAATCCGGGTACCGGGGAGGCCCTAGACCCTGTGTCAGCAGGCCCAGAGAGGCCGGGCTGTCGGCAGTCTGGGCAGAGTGCAAAGCCAGCACTCCGTTTCCAGCCTTCCCAGGTCAGCCCTGTGACCAACGATAGATGCTGGGGCCTCCGACCACACCAAGACCAGAACAGACTCAGTCCTGGGGCCCAGCTCAGTCCTGGAGACGCCTACAGGTACTTCCTTGAAGGCCTGGTTAAAAGAATCATAGTTCAGGACCAGCAGATGGCGAAATGGTTACAACGCTGGACGCCCACGTAGTTGACCAACAGCCGTTTGAGTCCCAGACCCAGCGGCTTAAAACACACTGTGCACATGTGTATGCATGCCCAAGATCTCGAGAGGAGAATGGAGAAGGGACTGCAGTGTGGTCATCCCCATGGGGGTGATTTCTTGCTTTTTGTCTCCCTGTCTCTATGGAGAGTGCACACACCCTATAGCAAAAATCTCTCTTAAAAAAAAAAA